GAGCCTTATAAGGAAAACGCTAATATTACTATTATAATTAACATCTTAGGATTTACTGTTAGTCGCGTGAGAGTTGCGGTCGACAATTATACAAAATAACATTTATATTGTTTGCTGCAGAAGGCAACTGAATCCAGTTTACAGAAATAGTGCCTGGTATGAAACGAATGAATTTAAGTCGTGTCATCGAATTGTATTATGAGGGAAAATTCACAACTGATATCGTTTACGGCAATGACACAGTGGATGTGAGCAAAGTCAAGCACCAAAGTTAAATTAACAGCCACTTTCAACAATGTGGCATGTGTTTTGTTTTTGGTTTTTTTCTACTTCTTTGAAAGGATAGGATTTGTTCTTTTAATTATATCAATGCTTTTTGGACAATTCTCAATACCGTCTTCGCGTAATATTTTTATATTCCATGTCCATCTTAGCCAACGTTGAAGAACTACTGAAAGTAGATATTTAAGAATGAATATAGCTGTTATAATAAGAGGAACTAATAAGTGCATATATAACGGTTGACATTAGATTTGAAGACGTTAAATTTAATGATTAAAGAAACATTCTCTCGGGAGTCCATTCCACACAGTAGTAGTTCGATCCACAAAATAAATTACCTTATAAGCATTTATGAATTTGCTGATTAGATGCCTTAAAATTTCATACTTTTTATTTATTTATTTTTCAAAATGATAGTTTTTTGTAGGTTTTGGTATGATCCATTTTTTTACATTAATCTCATAAACTTCAGTGTAGAGGAATTCTGTTTTCAATTCACACGGCCGTTTCGTGGTTATGTTCGAAATATTTCCTACATATATATATATATATATATATATATATATATATATATATATATATATAGAGAGAGAGAGATAGTGTACGTATTTTCGATTGAAATAAATGGGGTGTCAGTTAACTAAAACTAACATAGTAAATATTGGGATAGGTATTAGTGTGAAATCATGAGAGAATATGAACAATCAAACGACATAGTTCCATACACACATTCATACATATATCCATATATAAACACACGTTTGCGCACACACACACACACATATATATATATATATATATATATATATATATATATATATATATATATAAAGGATACATGAATATAAAGAAAATGTATATGTATAGTCGTTATATATACACACACATACATACATATATATATATATATATATATATATATATATATATGTCTGCGTGTTTTATAATTAGAAATTTATCTCTTTCTATCACTCTCTATCTCTTTATATATATATATATCTATATATATACATATATATATATATATATATATATATATATATATATATATATATATATATATATATATATATATATATATGACTTTTTATTATGTTCTTATATCACAAAACGATGGCATCTAATAAAAAGTTACTTTTTCTTGATTGAATCACAATGCAGCTAAAACTGCATTTGATGGTCGGAAGATTTGCGGCCCGTTTCATGTGCACTTGTGTCCTCATTAACACCGGCTCACTAATTATTCGGATCAATTATCTTTGGTGTTGGACGCACAAACAACGCGCACAAGAAGAAACAATTTTGGAAGACAAACAAGTAAAAAGAGATGCAGAAGGAAAGTTGAATGCATTGAGTTGGCGCGGTAATTGCATGGTGATGAAAGAAGAAAGAGATTTGTAGAGACTTGGCATAATTTTGAGGTGTGGACGGAATGTGACAGGTTAGAGATGCCAGAAAGGATCAGAATCAATCAAAGAAAGAAAATAGAGAAGAATAAAATGAATAGAGAGTAGAACTTGGTTCTTCTTGAATAAGACAGGTTATTATTTTCTACCTAAAGATTTTACTTGTTATCTGAATGTAAACTATTTCATATATTAGCATGAAAGTAATTATTTCCCCAATAAAATAGGTGTTAAATGCTAAGTTAGTAAACATCTCAAGATAGGTAACGATACGCAGAATATATATATATATATGAGTTTTAGTGTACAATATTTATTCATCTTTAAAATATTGATCCTAAATCGTTTGTGTGATCTCAGATTTTATTATGCAGACACATTAAGTTAACACATCATTTTGTAAAAAGAAATCTAAAATACATCCAAACATCATACACGTATTTTTCCTGATATTTACCACTGCGATATGGCGGAATCACTCGATCACGAGTTTCGAGTTTCGTAGTAGCAACGCATGGACTGCAATTGCAGTAGCAGTGACGTTTCCTAGGAAAAATAGTTTGACAAAGCCCAACCCTGTTCATGCTACTTTGAATTTTTTGAGTTTTCCTACTAGATTAGTCGTCAACAAAAGCTATAGATTCTTATCTGTCTTGCTATTTTCCATTATTCTGGGAGAAAGTAGATGGCAAATGGTGTTTCAACAACTTGGACCAATTTTAAACTTAATTCAATTTAAAATCGTTCCAAGCGATTGGAACACACTTTATTCACACGTACGCGAATTTAATAAACACGACAGGAATTTGAACTAATGTCGACGATTCCTCAAACCAAACCGCTATCAATTAAGCCACCGGGACTCCTTATGCACATATGCGCATTCAAGAAATCTCCATAAATTCTTACTTAATGGGTTAATATGATACCTTTGGCCTTCCGCCTTTTTTTTTTCATTTTTTTCTCATTCTTTATCTTTATTAACGTTTCTAATATTTCAACTTGAATATTATTTACAGTAGGTTTTGTTTCCCATAGAATTTAATTACTTGAATATTGTTTTCTATACAAATATTTTAATATTTAATGAGCCACACGTTTTCTATCGAATTGAAATCTGCAGAGACCTGTGTCTGTGAAAGCTTTTTTAGCAACTATCGGCATTGACGAATGTGAAGCAGCATTGATTTGATAAATATCTTTTAATCAGATATTACGCACGGATAGCGGCTCGGATTGAGGAATCGGAGAGCCGAATTTGAATTTCAGTCGAATCCATTACATTCGCTTACGTGATACTACCTCTGGGAAAAGTATGCGCTCTTCCCCCCCCTCCACCAGGTAAATAGCAGGATAGACCGTGTTCTATATGCTCGGATGCCAACTGGTCTACCGCAAAAAAAAAAAAAATGGCAACCTACTGTGTGAAAAAATCTGCTTCGTCAGTCATATATCGACAGATCGTGTATATTACGTATGAGACATAACTGACTGATTACTTCACAGAATCTTGAAGTGTATGAAATCAAAATTCTTCTTGAAACATATCAAAACATGTGCCTTCAAAAGTAAACACGTTCAAGAATGTGAAATAATTATTTGCATTTATTTTCATATCATCAACTTAGAAAGTATCTTTAGTATTTCTCCATAAAATGCAAGCCAAAAATATTACACGACACACCCAATATATTTTTACAGTCAGCTTGGATGACTATTTCTGTGCTATTCTTATCATGTCAATCGAATATAGATCCATAATATTTAATATTACTTTAATATTTTAATATTACTGTTAAGATATATATTTTTGATTTTCATATCAAAACTTTCATACCATTTTTTTTTAGTATGTTATTTTGCTTGTTTCTTGTCTGTAACCAATCTTAATATTCTACATCCGTTCACATATCGGGAAATTCATATTCAAATTTAAAATAGTCAATCAAACTTTCGGGCTTATTGCATATTTATTCCCCCCCTCTCTATCTCTCTCTCTCTGTTTCTCTCTCTCTCTCTCTCTCTCTCTCAATTTTTTTTCCCTGCTATTCTTAAAGGTGGATTTTTTTTATTTTTAAATGCCGAATATTTCAGTTTCTATTTGCGTGTTTTGTGATTTCTTTTCAAATCTATCACGTTTTACAAAGTTGCGGTGATTTCGCGCAAGACTTTTAAAATGTAGTTTCATTTTTAGTTATATCTTTCTTACGAGCTATGCCAATCTATTTACCTAACTTTAATATTTGATTTCAACATCTAATGTGCATATAACGAGATACCTTTCAGTTACATAATCAAATCTCAAACCAACAAATATTATTTTTCTAAAAAAAATAAGATTTAAGTAGTGCCAAGTGTTTTTTCGTTTTTTTTTAAATCATTTTTCAAGATACCCTCTCGAAATAACGTTCAAATTGAGTTCTTGTAAAAAATATAATATATTTTTAATTCATAATGCTCTTTCCTCTTCGGTAAATAAACTTCATTAATTTAAGCGTATTACGAGATTGTTAGCTGGGTTTTATGATTTTACGTTGGAATTACTGAATTAAACCGTAACTTCTATTCTGATATTTTCATCTAACCCAATTCTTCCCCTGTGTAAATCTCTTTCAGCTTTTTGCTTTCCTCTCAACAATAATCTTCAAAAATTTATGTGCAACGTCAATCGTCATTTTCAGTCTCCTTGAATCCTGTTAATTTTTTATTGTCCTTTCTCCTCAGTAACATTTCTTTCAGATTCCTTCACTCCGAATAAACATTTGCATCATAATTGCTTTATTGTTTTGCTTTCTGTGAAATGACTAAAAAATATCCCTGTGTTTGATGAAGCATATATAAATTTTTAGTCGTTGTTTTAATATAGTTCATGAAGATAAGAGGGAAAAACAAAAATGGCCAAAATTCAACGCTCTGTTGGTGTAATAAATTCACTCCTGCAATATTAATATATTTATCTCTTTGAATACATCTCTTTTTTTCGGGGTAAATAAGAGAGGCAGGTTGCTTCTCTGCTGCGTATTTTATACACCAGAAATCAAACCGGAAATCGAAGAGTAGATTAAACTGAAAGTGAACGTGAAAAAAGACAAATCTCCAGATCACTAAAAAAACAGTGATAGAAGTTGTGGATATCAGACTAGAGTCAGCATTTCTCCCCGATCAATATCTTCAGAAGCATATCATAATTATCACCTATAAGGAAAATTCTCGTTTTTCTCTCATTTTTATACACGTTATATAGATTTCTGCTGGTTTTCATTGAGTATAAAGTAACAGTAAGTATTATAAAATCCCAACAAGCACTTTGTAATGCTTCAACATCTGTCGAAATACAAGAACCTCTTTGAAAGTGCTTTTGGTATCGTTCCAAATACTCCAGCTATTACGAGCACTACCCTTTCTATCAAGCTGTAAAGTTAATGCATTTCTAATTCCAAGTAATGGAATTTTTCCACTTGCATCCTCCCCTTCCCTAATATATTCTTGAGCTTGTCGATTTCAACACTTTGGCGTAAAAATGATTTAAGACTTGGTCGATGATTTGGAATTCATTTATCCAAATGTCTGGAATCTTTCTTCATTCTTTATGCCAGCTTCTATTTTGTTACCATTCACTTTGATCATACAACTGAAACAAAAGAAGATTTCGGGAGGGGGGTATCAAGAATCTTTAAATCCATAGCAGAATCACCAGACCACATGTGATAGCAATATTCACTGCATGAACGAATGTTATACTTATAAATGAATAAAGATCGATTATGACGAGAAAAACAAATTGTCTAACAAGACACAGTGTACCAGATCTAGCAATTGATTCACTATAATTTTTTCTATTCATGTCAGCAGAAAACATTAGCCTGAAAAAACTCAATGAGTTCATGGATGTTAGCATCAGCCATGCTGATAGGAACTAAAAAAACATTTCTCTATCATGCTTAAAAGACCTCACTTTCGTTTTAGAGGCGTTAAAATTAACAAGCCTTTCCTTGCCTACATATGGTAGATGAGCTGCGAATTTGACCTTAACAAATCGATCGGAACTACCATTAAGACAGAAGTAAATGCTTGTATCATTAACATAGATACCAAGTTCAGAATTGATAGCATTGTATAGGTTCTTGACTCAAATTAGGCACGATGTAGGACCAAGGAAAGAATCATTTAGTATGGATGCATTAATGCAAAAACATCTAGAAGAGTTGTCCTTGAAGACAATGCTTCACGATTTTTAAAGAAAGATTGACGTAGACAATCCAGAAATACCATAACCTTTCAATCTGTGAAGAGAACCAGCATACCAAACCGTATCAAACGGATATTCAAAGCAAGAGCCAGACATGCACCATTCTTATCTAAACCATGATAGACTCAGCAATAACCGTTAACATATCGGCAGTTGACCTAGTGAAGCAAAAGTCATATTGTTTAAAAGATGATTCTGCGAGGTGAGTTACTTAACCAATTCAGATTTGATTAGAGGCTCTAGTCTTTTGCCAATGAGGTAGTTCGAAGAATTCTTAGAGATTAAAAATACTAAAGTGGATTTCCAACAAACCGGAAAGAAAGAAGGAGCATGTAATTTATTTTAGAACCTAGAAACAACAGAAGGCACTTCAGGAACACATTTCTTAAGGTCTTTTTGCTAGGATACCGTACAATATATTCACATGCTTTGTGGAAACCTAATGTTTAGATTAATGCAGAAACCATGGGTGGGGGGAATTATATGCAGAAGACATCAGAAAATCAATTCTCAGGTAAAAAAAACAAAAAAAAAACAAGCAAATATACTCTAGATAAGTCAAGAGTACATTTTGAAGATAATTTAGGATCACGAGAATTGTGCTTTATCAGCATAAGATAAAATAATTGATATACAAGAGGAGGTTTGGTTTTTTTTGGTTTGGTTTGGTTTGGTTTGGTTTGGTTTGATTTGGTATGGTTTGTTTTACGGCATGCCAACCTCAATTGGGTTATTTAATACCGACAATTTTTTTTTATTGCTGGTAATATTTTGTTTTCAATTATGTATTACTGGTAATAATATATAGGTGATAATATTTTTTCCTCAAAAATTAATTGCTGGCAATCATTTTTTACAAACATATATTGCTGGTCATAAAACCTATTTTTACACGTTTTGACCGCAGTTTGTGGTTAACTATCCACCCATAGCTGCTACCCTAACAGGTGCTACTACCCCGGGTGAGGGTGTGCCTGAGGACATCAGCAGTTAAGATGTGGTTCCACGCTCCTCAAAATCTCCTGATCAGAGAATTTGCGTCGGATGTAGATTATCGTTTTACTCTGGACGTGGATGTCGTTCATGCTGATACACAGGACGGATGAGAGGAGGGATAGACGACCTAATCTTATTTCACACTTAACATGCTTGAAATTTATATTTACAAGTGTTTATAATTTGGAAGTTTACTAAATATTTTTTCTTAGATACCTTTGAAATAACTCTTTTACTTATCTTTCTTTAATGAAGTCTTTTATTATCATTCCTAGTCTGCTGGCTTGGATGATGCTTTTGTAGTATTTACACCATTGTTATTATGTGCCCTTTGGTTATGTGATGTTTTTTGTGGTTGAATAATATTTAATCAGCAGCATTGACTAAAGGAAGTTTGTCAGGCTTTAAATTATATCAATCTAGAATGCGACATCTGTTCTCTGGACATTTGAGTATGACAAACTCGCTGCTCACGGTTTTGTCTTTATTGTGTGATTTTAGACTCCATTGTTGGCCCGATTTTCATTTACATTTTCTATAAATGATAAACGTATAGATACAGTTAACTGATATTAATTTTCCACTCCAGTGACTTTTAATTGCTATAAGGTGAGAGGAGTGCTCCTTAGAACTCCAGCAGCGACCTTAGTGTTCAGGCCAAAGACAATAAATTTACATTATTATTATTTTTATTGTTTTTAATTCTTGTTCGTTACTCTCTATCTCTCCTTCTTTCTCTCTCTTTTTTTTTCTTATTCTATTTTTTCTTTCTTTTCTTTCTCTGCCTAATATCTCACCCTCCTGACAATTCTACTTAACAAAGCAAGGTATATACAGCATCAGTCATGACAGTTCTCGGAATTCGGATAGTTTAATACACGAATACCAATATCTTATTAACCAATAGATGGAGGCATGTCACGGAAGTAAAATAGTCATTAGATTACAGTAATTTAGCAAATTCTACAATGCTTAGTGATCAATAGTTGTTACTAGTGCTTCGAATTCACCAGTTCTCCTCAGTACAGGTTGGATAACAATGTCTAGTAAGGGAAATATATATAGGTAAATACTACTGTAAAATGATTGCATTCTATTGAATGATATATACTTGACTTCATTTGCTACACTGCGCCAATCTTAAATATGAAAGGGCCCTAGCAGTTTAATTAACAAGATAATAGAGCATTTATATTGTAATTATTTCGATTCCTACTAAGGTCTCTCATTTTTTTTCTTAAACTAATTAAATAGATATGTCTATAGCAGGTAACCAGAAGTGAACATCCTTTCCGTTAGGAAAACAATGTCAAATTCAACTTGCCCAGTCTACAGATTATCTTTACTTTTTCTTTCATGCTTTATGTTCCTTCATTTCTTTGGCGTGCATGTGTCTCTGTCTATCTCTTTCTCTTGTCATGTCCCTATTAAACTTTAATCAATTTTTTACCATGTATCTTTGACCTTTACCCACTCTCTCCTTTCCACTCACATACAGTTTAGAGTGGTTATACGCTGTTTCCCTATGCGAATTACTTCATTCACTATGCCATTAATTAATTTCTCTAAACTCTCTTTTCTCAATGCGCATCCGAAAAACATGACCATATGATTTTATGGTGAGATTAAGTGTCCTTTCTTTCTTATTTTTCTTAAAACATCTAAGTTGTTTATATATTAAATCCACTTTATTGTAAGTATTCTTCTGTAAAATAATCATTTCTGTCACCTCGAGTTTTACCGCTCAATCTTTTTTGATTTTTTGTCACATTTTTGGTCTTTATTACCATTTGTCAAATATACATATCTGTTTGATGTTTACGCCACTAATTTGTAGCATAGACTCTGAACTGTCTCTCTTGCTAATGACCATATCATTCTTTTCTTAACAGTTAATATTAATTTCTTCGCGTTTTCTTTCACTCTCTTCTTCGAGAGTCCCGTATCGTCTGACATAAACACATTATGATTAGAATTATGATGCTAAGATTCTGTCCGCAGATAATAAATTGTGTTCGTTTTAAGATCTTCTCATTGTATAGATTAATAAAGTCAGTGAGAAAAGGTGACTTTGTCTAAAGTGACTCTCTATTTTAGTGTATCGGCTTAACTAATTTTTTGCCCTTAACATCTCCAGCTTGACTTGTTTTAACTTTACCTTTCCTTTGACAATCACTATTTTTCCTGAACAACTACCTGAATATTTGATAGTTGTTTATACATTTAGGTTCCACTATAATTATTATTATTGCTATTGTTATTGCTGTACATATGATTTTGATAATAAAGGAGAAAGATTTCGGCGAAAATTACAGCAAAAAAAAAAATTTTTTGTTTTCCAAACTATCAATTATTGCTCGGCAAATGATTCCTTGAAAATTTTATTCATTCATATTTTATTAATGAAAAGCTCTGATTTCAATGTTGCAACCAACGTAAAACTCGTCAGTGTTATTTAGATATAAAAAACAACAATATTACGAGAAAAAAATAACAAATTGAAAAAATAACAATTTTTTCTTTGATTGGAAAGAAAACTAACATCGGTTTTCCGCGATAAAATAACAAAGGGTTGTTGATTGGGCAATATCCTTTACGAACGAAGCGGGAAAGAGAACGCTATTAACAGGGAGAAAATTTTGACTCTTAGGCATTTGCCCTGAGGCAGAAGCGGACACATAAAACGTGCATGAGCAATTTAACCAGGACAAAAGAGTACTAAGTCCTGGGTAAAAGGAATTACTCAGTCGATCCTTAGCTCTTTCAACTGGAAAGAATTGAGTGATCAATTGGAAATAGTGTATGAGAAAATGAATACATAAAAAAAAATCTTCGTTTTCGAGTCCGTTTTCTATTTATTTATTTCTTTCTTTCTTTCTTTCTTTCTTTCTTTCTTTCTTTCTTTCTGTTTTCTTCTTCTTGCTGTTTTCTTTTTTTTTTACTGTTATTTACATCCAATGCTTTCTGATATTTACTTTTCATTTCTATTGGCTTTTTATTGCAACCTATTTTCATGCATTCGTACACATTTTTTTCTTTTACTTGTGCTTTTTCTTCTTTTGCATCTTTTATTAGTAATAGTAGTAGTATCTTTCTTAGTAGTAGTATTAGTAGTAGTATTAGTAGTAGTATCTTTATTAGTAGTAGTATTAGTAGTATTGTGATTTCTCAAAAGAAGCAGCTATCGGCTTTAACTGGAGACCAAATGAAATGTTTTCCCCAGCAGGGATGTTCCTGCTTATTGCAATTACTTATCACATCATTCTTGTCTGGTTTTTCCACCTATTCTTGGAATTTTGATTCCGTCCAAATCTTTTCCGAATTACTTTGGCGATCATCAAAGTACTCAAAACATTATGATTACGCCTGCACCTTTTATCTTCCACGATTATATTTAGTCCTGTAGTTTGAATATTTCTCTCTGTCATAATCTGTTTTGATCTCGGTGACTTTTTCAGCTTTTCAGTATATCTGTAAGGATATGGCCATAGAAATCAAGACTACCTTGTGACCGTAGTTTCAAGCCGTAAACCATTCATCAAACCACATCGTCTGATGATTTCTTAAAACAGGAAATGGTGGAAACGAATGATTTTTCAAATGACAGCTTAGATCTTCATTTGTTTTTGAAGGCACACGTTTTGCATGGTTCAGGAAGAATAACTATTTTATGCTCTATCGCTAAAGACTTCTAAGGAATGTATGATTTAAATCTATTGAACGACATTTGTGCTTGGCGACTTCAACTGACATAAAACTTGTAGAGCAATCTAATGTTTATATAAGCCGGCGGTGATTTACCAGCAAAGAGATGCTCGTTTGGATGGTATACAGTATATTTAACACGAGGACATGCAATAGCTCATAAAATCAAAGCACAGGTGGCTTATATCTTTAGTTTCTTAACATGAAGAATATATTTGTCATTTCTCATTCCAGTAATAGTGATCACAAATGTCATCCAGGTATGTTTTTGTAAACGTCGTGCTCATTCTGTAATTTTAATTCGTATTAATTCGTAAAGTAGATTTGGTATCCTAAATGTAGCGCCAATCGTTATCTTCCATCTCCTTGTAGCCTGTTCTTTTTATAGGCCTTTCCACCCATCAACGTTTTCAAACATATCTTCACTCGCAGTAAACACAGATGTCTTAGTTGTGGACGTAGGCTGAAATAATTATAAAAAATGAATTTAATTTTGAAAAACGTTGGAAATTTTGGTTAAGCCATAATGTGTAACATTGTAAGAACTACATTAATTTTGAACGCAGTATATATATATATATATATATATATATATATATATATATATATATATATGTAATGTTAAATAAATAGATACGTTTTCATACAACCACAGGCTATCATTAGGGGCTATGTGTCAAAATGAGCAATTGATGCCACTCAGGCAAGTCCAAGATGTTACACGCACGCGCGCACGCACGCACGCACACGTGTGTGCGGCATCTTATTACTCAATGACAGTAGGCTAGAGAGGGCGGAAATTTTCTTGAATGAGTTGGAAATAGAAACTGGAACAATATATATATATATATATATATATATATATATATATATATATATATATATATATAGTGTGTGTGTGTATTATTTCACTTCTTCATGATCTTCCATCCCTGGCTATAATTAATGATGAACATATTTTTGTTTTCATCACGATTTTTCTGTTAAGCTTTGAATGTAATTATACATCATTATGATCAAAGTAACGTCCAATAGTGTTATATAAAACTCGGAGAATTCCAGGAAGATATATTTAATCACTTACAAGGTTCAGAGTATAATCTAACAATTAGAAAATTTCTGTAATACACGTGGTATATATATATATATATATATATATATATATATATATATATATATATAAATGAGGGAACATTGACGTCGACACTCAAAGCCGACAAGCTGTTTCAAGCTAGACGCATTCGTCATGTATGACGATTGCGTCTAGCATGAAAACAGTCTGTCGCATTTGAGTGTTGCCTTTAATATTCACTGTAATATTTACATACGCGCTCTCTCTCATTTTGAGCAATTCATCCCTTAAAACTGTATTTCTTCCTATATATATATATATATATATATATATATAAAGAGAGAGAGAGGATGGCATATCATTACAAGCGTGAGACCGACTCGGCTTTGGTTGCAGAATCATTGTTCCCCATTTTTGCATTTACATAAGCTCTATTCCATGTATTGAGAACTTTTTGTGTAGAAATATAGCATAACTTAAAACTATATTTAGTATATATATATATATATATATATATATATGTATATATATATGTGTGTGTGTGTGTGTGTTCATGTGTATGTGTGTGTGAGTGTGTGTAGATACATTCCATAGTCAATATATATATATATATATATATATATATATATATATATATATATGTGTGTGTTGGGGGGGTCTGTGTGTTCATGTGTGTATGTGTGAGTGTGTGTAGATAGATTCCATAGTCATGAATCGGATCCTGTATTATTACGACAAAATGAAGTTTCCTCTAGGAGACTCAGTGTCTTGAGCACTTATTTGGCCTTAAACTCAACTGAGTCCTCAAGTTGAAATACCACTTATAGGGAAATATAATGAAAAACTGATCGGTTCCCCGTACCGTTCCAGCAAGTACATGACTCGTCATGATATCCTCTGCTTTTAAACAGCCGGACCTGGATTCAAATGGAATAGTAATTCTTTATTGAGGCAGGAACTCAAAATCATCAATTTCCAGTCTTGATAGCGCCCCAAAACATCTCCGCGTTCTTGTGGATGACAACATATTAACAAGCCTCCAACTCCTTTCCCACAGACTAAACGATGCATAATTCTAACTGCTCTGTCGCTATTTCCATGGAATGTACTCAGACGAACTACATTAGTGGCACCAGTTTTATCTCCACCGCAATGTCTCGTCATACCACACACATTGTTACGAGCCAACCTCATTCCCTTCGTATTGTGAGGTATAAGTTACATTCAGTCACCATCTTCCAACGAACTGTGAAACTGATTCCCACGAAGGTGTTTTCCCGATCACTATAATCTTAACCTGTTGATGTCTAGGATTTACCTTTATCTTCTCTAAATATCACAATAACTGCGTCTTATTCTGTAAGATCAAATGTCTCCCTGGACGTGTACCGGGTGAATATCACTATCAAAAATTATAAGGCCTTGTGATGTTTTAGTGTGAAATCCGTGATCTAAAACGTCATAGAAATAACATGTATAATTTAATTAAATTTCCTAATATTTCTCAGATCAAATTCTGATATTGCATGTCGAAAAATAATTTTTAAATCTGGAAAATCAATAGAAAAGACTAGAACATCTGATGAAGACGCATTAAAATTTATGGTAATTTAATTAACTGTAGTAATTTAATTAAAATGTCTCTGTTTATAACATCGATTTGTAAATTCCTTTATTAAAAGTTTCATTTGTAACATGAAAGTCAACGACGTTTCCTTTACTAAAAATATAACATACTTTATAAAATATCAATGTTTGGTAATTTAGTAAAATTAAACAGATAACGCTTAAAAAGAGAACTTCGTAAGAATTAAGATGAGTTTCATTTTCACTGAATTAAATCTGAAACTCAAGACTCGAGTCAAAATTCTAATCTGAAAGCAATAATCTTTCTTTGAATCAAATATTAAAACGGACTTAAATGAAAAAATATCTATTCTGCAATTTTGTAAACATTTATAAATATTTAAATATTTTATTTATTGTTTTTTAATTCAAATATTTTCAAAGTGTTTTATTATTCTTCGTGGCATAATATGATTCTCTTTTTATAAAAACATTAGACATTTACTTTGGCATGTTGATGGTGATAAAACGTTTCGACCAAGATATCTTTTTTTTTCTTTTTCCGATGGAGAAAATACTTACAAAATACAAAATATATCCTAACAAGAAAGGTTAATGAATTTGAAGTAAGATATAGAAAAGATTATAATATTCATAATAATTTATATTTAAAAAGTAAACATTACGCGCTACTAGTTGAAGTTATTTACTAATTTAAAAGAGGAGAAATTTGATATGCATGGAGGCCTCGGTTCGAAGTAAGCATATCATTATAATATTTTTTAAATCATTACAAGAATTATCGTTTATATTTTCTATAGTATAAACCTGATATCTGGTAATAAATCAATAAATCCATTAGACAATTAGGCCTTGATTAGCAGCATGAAACAAAATATTTCATTATATATTAATT